TAGAACAGACGACTTGCATAGTCACCAAATTTGAGCCATTTGTGATGGAATATTTAAGATATGACTACTTAAAAAGATGACCTCTAGTTAAGTCAACACTCGGGCAAGTGCATTTCAACGGGATAAAAAAACCAAAAGTGTAGAAACGAATCGACGCAAGAAAGAAAGCTGAAGATTTGATATTCTCTGTTTGTGACGATTTCCATGGCACTATTATTATAACTTTTACATAGTTATGAGTGGTTTCATATTTATCTGAAGTAAAATTTTTCGGTAGAAAGTGAAATTATTCAAAGTTTCAAACGCGAGTCAGAGAGGTGTTTAGCATGGGAAATTGACATCGATACCATTGGCTAGTTACATCCAACTAGACTAAAAGGAGCCGCACGTTTACAAAATGTTCTACGCTGAAGACTTGGATATATTGAGGCTATCTCAACAATATCATGTCTGTTGGTCAGCGACGCCACTCTCCTTTTTTTGGTGTTTGGTTCTTTTACATTTGTGGCATGTTTGAAAATTTATTCATTTATGTTTCACACCTTTATCGTAACACAGCATCTCTACTAGTCCCGTGTTTCGTGTAAATCAGACGGCTGAGGCTTATATATTATGGATTAGGTATCCATTTATTATATCACAATGCTGTGAAGTTAACTAATAATATCAATTTTAAGGTACTGGTCAGATGATATGTAGTTAAGCGTTGGTAAGAATAGATTTATGGTTAAAGAATATGAAAGTAAAATTGTTTGGGGTCGTGAAATTTATGAGTAAGGCGGCAAATAAGCAAGAAAACAAAACAGATGAATGCTAATAGGTTTGAAATATTGATTTTTTGTGCTGAGAGAACATAAAAAAGGAAGAAATCACAATTTAGGTTAGTGTGAACTTACTATGTTCAACCGTAGTCGAGCAGCATTTAATAGAAAAAGAGACTGAAAATGGACATAGGACTTTGTAGGATTATGGTCTAGTTTGTTATTAGTACCGCTATAATGATAGACCTAAGTGTAAAAGTACAGATTTGTCATGATGTGAACATTTAATCTACAATGCCTTACGCGGAAGACGCATCATTGTCTATTGTGACTCGTTGTACTGTAACAATTAGCAATATAATGTTTGGCGTTTACAAAAAACACATCTAGACTCGAGATAAAACAGTATATTTAATATGAATAAAAGAGATAAGTTAGGCAAGAATGACCACGCCTGCAAAGCTGAGCCATGCCATCAGATTCAGTGAATGAATTGCTCCCACCTCGATTGTTGGCTTTCTATCATGAAAGAATTATGTGGCTCTAAACATTGGTGAAACATCGAGTATGAATTTAAGGAGTAGGAGCATAAGAGGATGACTAATAATGAATAATGAAAGGAGGGAAACCATGTGTTTCGTCATCCGGTCACACATATATGAATGAAAATGGGGTCTGTTATATTCACATTTGGTCTAGACAATAGGTGGTTCACAGAAAGTGCCTCAGGGTTGGGTAAAATTATGATAATAGTTGGTGAAGCCCTTTAGGGTTATTAGTCCTTAGAATTCGGGGATAGTGTTACGGATGCAGATAGGTATTGGTAGCCTGTTGCACAATAAACTATACCACATTGCAAAAACTTTCTACGCATTGGTTTCCGGTGTTTCAAAGTTAGTAGCGTATACCCATAGCCATTGAGTCTATAGGACGGGATATTATTTCGTTGAAAGATATAGGATTGTTCCTTAGCCAGCGGCGCCATAAAGGTTCCAAGGGGAGGTCCGTTCATATAGCTGTGTAGTCAAGAACGAAGTAACATCTTAGCGGTCTACTTGTGAAGCCTGTTTGAATATCCAATTGCATCTCGTCTAAGATATCCATGTTTGGAAACGCAGATAAGTAGTACTCAAGGAAAGTCGTATATGTATTTTGGAAAGGTTAAGGTTAGCCTCCATAGCGAAGCTGCAATATAGTCCACAACTTATTTCACGATTTTACGGTGTGGTTCATCCTCTTATAATGATTTTTCCGCGTCTAAAGTGATAAAGGCTTTTAGTATGCGGTCCATATTAAATACCACTGTGAGTAACCGATTACATGGCTTGTATTTGGGTCTAGTTTTATGTATGGAAAAGGTTCCTAGGTGAAAACTTTCCCGAAATAGTTCGCCATAGCCTGCTTTGTTTCGGTTTTCCTCTGTCATTTGTGACATACTTCCGCAACTAGGTTGGGAATCCAATAATTATTTTTTGTTACGTAATTTATGGCTCTTTGGTTGCTTGACCAGGGTTTAAGTTTAGTTAGGAGGGATTCATCTATAACACATTCTGGACTGTAGTAGACAACAGTTAATTAAATGTCTTGTTCTGTACATTACAGTCAACAGTGCACCGGTTGGCACGTCCCTTAGTCGTATGCCACTGTTTCAACAGCCCGTATGGTCAAGGGGCTTCTCGTGTGCAGAATAACCCTTTTGTGCTGAAGGGCAAACCTCGTTTTATCGATAGAAGAAATCAGACTGTTGTTGAATAAATTTTTATTTCGATCATGGAACAGAACAGTCAGGGCGTGGAGATATTTCTTTCAAACGCAAGAAGATTTTCCGCATTCACTATAAAATAGGATATATAATGCCTACACTGGATAAGGAGGTGTGTGAATACTTGGGTCATAATGTATTGACATTCTAAGATGTTTGATGCCTAATCTTAACTATTTATTTGTTGCGATTCCACCACTCACATGGTCTAGTCTGTCATCCCAACAAAGTTAGAAACCGAGCAATTGAACTTCATTTTCATACAGTTCCGATGTTAACCCTGTTTCTGAGATGGCAGTGACATTTAGGGTTTTCTGTGTCCACCATAGTTTGGAGGCCAGCCATTTTACTTGGTAGGCTGTTGGCATTTGTATAGCATACATTTATTTTTGCCAAAACGTTTCTGTACCGCTCAGAGTGGTCTCGGAATTGCTTTGCTCCAAACTTCTACGATGTGAAAACCCATAAATATAAGGTTCTTCCCTATTCCGGCGGTACTCATATATATTCCAGACCCACTCAATTTGCGTGAGTTTTCCAGTATTAGGTCTCATTCTTCAGCGGAAGTAAAAGTAACTTTTAAGATGCAATTTACTTGCGTACATTTGAAGTCCGCCTTCGTCTTATTTCACAAAGCTGCCACCTTCTACCGTTTCTAGAAGTAGCTTGCTAACCGAGGACCTAACGTAGCTTAGATTGATCCCTCTCTTAACTTATGAAAGTTGACTGGCCTATTTGGCAAAAAATGTGTGGGTCTCATCTTTTTGCTTTAACTGTCCAAGTGCTAATGTAAGCCAATCATTGATCTTATTTTGTTTATTGATTCGACCTTCTTCACCGCGTTCCTTCTGGATATTCTGTTTTGTGCTTATATTAAAATCTGCATCTGAAACTGTCAACTCATCTATTTTAGACTTCTCTGTACTTTGCTTCTCCTTAGCATACTTTTTCCTTTATCTTGTAACCGTGCTCACATCCATGTATTTATCGTCTACTACGCTTTGAGAGTCCGTCATAATAGTTTTATTCAGACCTAAAGGCAGGCTCATATTGACACACCGTGCTTCCTCTAAATCTGACATTTGCTCATCTGCTGGTTGCTTATCTGAGGACATCATTCTTTCTGTAGTTAGTTGCCCGACCGCCTCGGCAACCGGAAAAGACCTCGTACAGCAGCATCCGTTGCGCAACCAAAATTACAGTGGCTTGAAACGTGTTTTATATGCAGCTGATGTGAATTTGGTGTACACGTCGTAGCTGTCACAATCCATTCCATCTTTGGTCGAAAAGCAACATGAAGGTCTATTACAACTAGGTTTTTCTGAGCCATTAGGTGAGCCATAGAGAGCACAACGCAAAAGTCTCTTTACGCGCGAAGAAAACAGATTTTTAGAGTTATAGTTTTCGAAGCTCTTAAAATGATAGACAATAAACACAAAAAGCTGGAACTTCTGTATTACTGTAGCGAAAACCCAACTTAAGTAAGTAAAGAAGGCCTTTACACCTTAGTGCATGATCAAAACTAAAGGATTTACTCTACGAGGAAAAATACCACTACCCTTTTGGTATAGCGCGCCCAGTTACAATATTTTTGACCATGTATGACCAACTAAGCAGCTTTTAAGTAAGAAGACAAATGCTGGTTTAGCACTCATATTGAAAACCGTATTCAAAATGTTACATATCAGATTCACTGGAAACTTGGAAATATTGAGGCCAAATGTGTTTAACTTGTAAAAATGCCACAAGTATTTGAAGTTTGACAACAACTTAGCCAGTAACATCTTTTATAATCGGACCGTGCCAACTCAGTGAAATCGGAAGTCAGAAGCTAAGGCGCTTGATTATATATTCGATAGAACACCGATATGTTGAGAAGCGGATAACTTAAGCTGGCTAGTGGTTGTAGGAAACGTGAGGCACGGCGTACTCACTGATGGTCTGGTGCGGATGCATGACTGAGTTCCTTCAGCTAGGTCCATTAAAACTAATGCAGTCATCATCAATCATCGAGGACTTGCAGAGCTACTGATTTTAAGGATCACTTACCCACCCACTAGTGGGGTAGTAGTGACCCTAAGAAGTGGCCAGTCAGAAGTTTATTTATATACCGCTACACATTGAATAAAAAACATCTTAATCTGCTGATTAACATGAATACATGAATGCAACATAGACACTGGCCTATACTAGGTTGCAATTACTAACCAGTTAAAGTACCATCTGCACTCAAATACGATAGGACTTGACAATGTTGGTTTTTTGAGTATCTTATGGTAAAATACCTCAGTAGTGACATAAAAGAGCTAATGATAGTTGGTACGAACAGTGAAATTGTTTCGTATGTAGACGTGATGTTTTTATCTTCCTTAAATTTTGGCTGTATCTTTGACACTAAGTATATACTAATTAAAAATCTTATTTTCAATGGTTAAGATCATGATCGTATACCGTTGTATACGAGGGATGTAAGGATCACAAGGTCGTCCACTTTGCTGAAGGTGGATAGGGTGTTTGACTTTATATGTATTTGGGTTTAGTATAATGGTTTGTCATGCTAGTTTTACTTCGAACTTAACTGTGTTCGCGTAAACTAGATAATTTATGACTAAGAAGCGTCTCTGTTTGCCCTAAAATCCCAAGCTGCCAATTCTGGGGAAAATTCGGCTCATTTTGGGGAAGCCGCTATAGTAAATTTTGGGAAAATGAGACTCAAACCCCAAACTTTCCCTGAAATTCCATTCTAACCTTGATCATGGTCAATTGATTTTGGGGATTTCCCCAAACGTCGGTGAAGGTCATTTGACTTCGGCAGTTTCCCCAAAGTTCCCCAAAATTGGAAACTCGGGATTGGAACTAACTGTGGTGATTAATTCACGAATCAACCAACAAAGGGGAAATAAAGGCGAACAAAGGGGAAAATGCGTTGAAAAATACAGAGGATATAAGAGGGAAACGCGCTAAAATGTCTGTTTTTCCCCCTGTCCGGGGAAAATAATGCGGATTTTCCCCTTTTCGTTGCCCTGTCTCTCAAATGTCGCTGAATCGTCTACTTTTCGCTTAAATATATGCTGAATTGTCTATTTTTCGCCCAAATATACGCAGAATTCTCTACTTTTGCTTCGACGTTTAAAACGCCCCAAAGGTTTCCTATATTCGCCTTTATTCCCACAACACATCACACTGAAACTGCAACCCACGTGAAAAATAGTATATGTTTAAATAAGTTTATTGAAAAGAAAAAGCGTATTATTATAATACAATATTATGGCAGAAGCTTGAGCATCAATCGTTATGCATTTTAACTGTACTTGCCGATTCATTGTTATTTGAAAAGATCTACAAAAGAAGAAACAGGCGATGTATTATTAATAAGGCATGTATACTTAATTGAAAGTTCACTAAAAATCAAACAAACTTTCTAAACACTTGAATAAAGTTTACCATGAAAGTAAGAAAGTAAGCTCGTTTTCAAAAAAAATGTTTTTAAAAAATAAGTTGAATATAAGAAATATTCCACGGATTATTTCTTCTAGCCACGCCTGTCCGGCTACTGAAAATCAAAATGATCTTCTTGTGAATTCTGGAGTATAAAAAATGAAGTTACGATATCTGAGTGACATGCTTTGGCACAGCTAGCTACTTGAAGCTTCACTTATGTTCGTTAACACTGTCGACTGTACCTACAGAGCAGTAGGGGAGTTATCACTTTAAATTATTACATACCTGTCCTTGTTTCCTTCTATTACGCTTTATTAATTTGTCTCTGACAACGTGAAAATAATCTTGTGTCGCGATATCGTACAGTTCCGCAAGGTTTTTTTCGTTGACAGATGATGACAAAAAGCAATTGGTTAATGCACCTAAAGTTTAAATAATAGATATAGGTTACTTCGTATGCTCGTTTTGACGAAGTGCCAGGTAGCGTGAAATTACTGGCAACCTCAGGTGTCATGAGGTACGACAAAACATATCGCATTGAGGTTTTAGGATCATTATCCATTAACCTCGTTAACATGGCCATCTTTAATATGAACAAATCATAAAATTAATGTTTTTGACTTATAAATCTGTCCCTGGTTTCTTTCTGCTGCAAACCAGTGTCCAACATCTGCAGTTCCTCTTCAGATGACAAAGGGAACTGCTGACTTGATAGTCCGCAATCGAATTGATACGGATGTTCGCGGTCACCGAACTTCGATAGTAGCAACTTCATATTTGCATTTAAGTCAGTAATAGCTGACGACATCTTCTGCAGCACTGTATGCAACCTATCAAATCTGAAAAGCTTCACTTGATCGTACAGGTAACTTACTCGGCCGCTAAAGCACTGCCTACACGCTTAGATTCTGATGTTGACGGTGATGTATCTAACTGTGTCGAACTACTTAATTAACATCTAAATAGTGATGAGACGTACTTGGAAATCGGCGAGGTGACGCTGTCAAACAACCGAAATTTTGGATATTGTACGTGGCTATTTCCAGCCTGCATCTCGGCCACATCCATGTTTACTGAATTGTAAGGAAACCCTTCTTTACGCTTCAGTTCACTTCTACGGAATGTTGGCAAGTTAATTGTACTGACCTCTTGGACTTCTCAGTGTTCATTGGCAAGGTTTTTTCTTCCATTGAACTGATTTTACGGTAAAGACCCAGTATTTGGAAGGAAACTGACATGTCCTTTGCAGACCATCTATAGTAAATTATAGTCTCTATGTTTGTTACTCACCGAATTCGTGAATGGCTTTACATTTCAGAACTGACCAATTGTCATCTGGTCGGCCGCAGATTTGCAGCTGGATGTCGACAAGCTCCGCTGGTTAAAGGCAAAGTTCTTTGCCAACAATCCACTGCTATCATGAGTTGTTCCGTGCTAGGTACGTCGACAATGACGTATTTTTTGTTAGCGGGCTAAGCATAACACAAGAGGTAATGAAATGGTTTATTATACATTCACATAAAATTATGGAAGAATAACTAAATAATGGATACAATTAATGACTATACATTTGCAGTCAATGTCCTTAACCGCTTCCCATGTGTGTTCATGGCTAACTACGACGCACATAAATATTCCTATATTACTGGATGGGAAAGGATTTTCGAAGTAATTGCGTGGGTTAGTGAAAGACCTAAATTTTAGTAGTCCGTTCTCCCCTATATCAGTGACTAAACCAGGCTTTCCGTTTACTACTACAACATTATCAGGCTTAAATGAAGTTATTTTACTATTCTTAAACATGATTACTTGTTTATTTGAGTCCTCGTTAGCGGCTATTAGGGTAGTATTAGTTAAACTGATAACTTGAAGCCTATTGCAGAAGGACATTTTCTCTGCATAACACTGAGCTGCTTGCTTTGCAACAGTATACCCGCTATGCACAGATTTTTTGTCTCATATAAGACTCGAATAGAAAGGCTGAAAAACTATCTAGAGGTCCATGTGCATGAACACCGTCAGGGAGTTGCTGTAACAAATGAACAGACCCATAACACCATTCGTATTCTTTAAGAAAGTTCCCTAAATTCATTCTGACGGATTCTACAACGGTATTGTGTAATTTAGGATGTGCAGGCAGATAAACGGATAACGCTAAACGCTTGAAATTAAGATACATAGGTTGTGGCAGTGTTTTCTGCAGAATAACTGGGTCTAATTATAGAAGGAACAACCTACGTTCCGAAGCTTTCCATACCGATACGACGTCTAGTATACGGAAAGCCTGATACTTTAGCGCGTTTTCCCTTTATTTCTCTTGTATTTTTCAATGCATTTTCCCTTTTGTTCGCCTTTATTTCCCCTTTGATGGTTGATTGGGGAATTTCTCTAGCACGAACGTTACCAGGTATGGATAATTACCGTGGGTCTTTATTGATACGTTTTTATAGACATGTACATGCATCATGCAGACAGCTAAAGTTTGCAACACAACAAATGTTGTGTGAGGTAAAACTGTCATTTTTGATGTCTATTTTGCTCTAAAGTCAGTACAAACAAACCACAGTGGGTTATGATCTTAAAATCATCGCTTGTTATTGTTTAAATCCCTGTGAATAGGAATGGGGTCCGAAATGTTCCGCCATTAATGTAATTGTTGTTACTGCCTGTACGATATGTATGAAGATAGAATAAATTATGTATTTGGTGGTTGTATCTCAGAAATGCCGAGTAAAGTGCTGAGATCAACCAAAAAATGGTTAAATCATTCTCCTTTGCTTTTCACTATTATATCATCCTCTCAAGGTAAAATAAAAGACGTGATACCATGAAAGACTCATTTGAATGAAATAAACAACACTGGATGTGATATCGTGGTTTTTTTATATTTCACTGTGTACTGGTTTCTAGAAAAACCAAGTTCAAATTTACTATTGATCATTAAGGAACTCCTTCGTTCAATTAGATGGATAGCTTAGACTTCAGTCGAATATTGGCTCTCTAGTGACAATAGTTTTCTTTATTGTAATAGTCTAACATAACTGTTGCTTCACTAACTAAACCACAATTGTTAGCATTTCATTGCTAACATATTTAATACCAGGCAAACAAAATTATCACAAATGCACACAAAAAATTAACATTATGTTAATCGTGTGCTAAAAAAGAAACCAAGAAACTAGTTTGGGTCAACATATTCATCAGAGTAAACTTTTTGAAGTGTAAATATACTAAAAAGGCCCCCAAATGCCCTGGTACGGCCGAGAGTGGGGAGAGTTCGCTCTCCTTCTCGAAATGCTCTCACATGGCCACGCGTATATAGCCTCTGCCAGGGAAGTCCTACTCATTGCCTTCTCATGGCGGGGGTGTTGTTTACGAAATTGAAAGGACGAAAAGCGAATGTCCGGCGTTTTAACCGGGTTGGTGGACATGGAGAGTCCATCTAGGGGGAGTTGGAAAACCCTGATTCGAAAGCAGTGGTGCACATGGGCTCCAGTATCCTGAGGGAACGAATGGAATATGAACCAATCGTTGGTCACCGACTATCATGGGACTGCATCTCCTGATGTTGCTCCACTGCCTTGTGGATTAGACCTTCAGGTCGGAAGCTCCGGGTGTGGCCCCTCAAGAAAACTAAACAGAATTCTATTGAATCGATTTAAATATTAAAGTACCATTGGACTCATTAGCTGAGTGGATAACGCGATGGCGTTTGAACCGAATGGTACTGGGTTCGAGTCTCAGAGTGAACATCAACTCTGAGGTGCATGTACATCCAGCTGACGAATCCTAAATAGGACGAAACGCGCGTCCTGGATTTCACTACTAACCACTATTCATCTTTGCTTATAGTACCATTGTACGTTTAAAAAACAGACACGAACTTTTAATTTATGTATATACTATGCACAATCAAATTTCTCTATAACTAAATTCATTTTAGAGTTATCTGTTTATGGTTCAAAGTTTGTATTTATAATACTCAAGAAGGTCTATTTAAAACAAACGCATTATTTACCTTGGTATCATGACTAATAAGGTAGGTTCTTGATTAATGTTAACTAGTTCAATGAGTTATTACCATTCGATTCTCGTCAAATAATATGTGAGTTAAAAGAATATAATATTCAATTGAAATTATTATTTTTACAATTAAATGGTTGTCTGTTCGTTTGGTTAGGTAATGAAGAGAGCAAATTGTCCGGTAAATCATAAAATCTCTTTATTGATATATCTTAATAATTATTCTCTATATAGGTTTATCTGTATGTTTGCCTTCACAAATATCAACATTTGATCAACATAGTGCTACAATCTATTCAGTAACTGGTGCTTCACGAAATCCATTTAGTGAATATGAAGAAAATTTATCATGTAAAATATCTAAACGTTTTCATTGTCCTGTATTTGTTAGTATTAGTTTACCGCATGAATTTGCCTCTTTATGGAATCATTTCAATGTAATCACACAAAGTACACTTGGTCAAAAAGCAGAACATTGTATATTTGAAAATCTTTCCACTATTGTACTTTCATGATCACTTATGTTCTTTGGCTATGTATATCTATGACAAGTTATGTATGTATTCATTTGTATTTACTGTTCATATGTTGCATTTTGAATTTTATATTCTGTGTTATACAATAATAAGATTAGAATGGCACTGTTTAGTTGCTTAGTTCGGTTTTCAATCAGTTGGTCACAGGTTCGAGACCCATTGTGTTATGATTTAAGTATCAGTCAGATGTAGAAACTGGAACTTAACTACATCGGCCCATACCTTTACATCATATCGCTTCACAGTGGGATGTAATTGTTACGTTGAATACCGAAGTGGTAGTAAAAAGTGACTACGCATAAAAAATATGATTTTCAAGTAAAGAGTTAATTTGTAGAGTGAAACGCATCAAGTAACTTTCAAACTGTAGACCTACGGTTACATAGAGAATAAATTGATGTATGACATCCCGACTGGTTCTGAACTATATCACTTGATATCTCCAACCATTCGTCATGTTAATCTCGCAAACGTTAATCTCCATCTACCAAGTTGCCTCATACCAACAGTTGGTGGCTCCGTGAACTGATTACACGTTTTGGTATGACCACTCCTAGATTTCTTCCAATCTACTACCTCAGATAACATTGTACGTCAAGGTAGTTGGTGACAAAGCATACTTGAGACGTCGGAACCGTCTCAGTCAATAAATACTCACATTTTCATCAACCAGTTTTCTATCTGTGTCTGGTATCCTGGATATAACTTGAACACCATTCACTCAGGTGTCCTAAAATATGCGAGTAATGCCCCGGCGACATGTACAGTCAGATACTTGTAGCCTACGAATGGCCTCTACTTTTAAAGGGTAATTTTCATAGCAATAGACTAAAATAGTTAACTTCCGCATAATGTACTTACCTCTTCATTGACAAATGTACATCTTGCCTACGCCTCAGTTGACACAAGTCGTCAGAAGCTGACATAATTTCTTCTAGCCTATTCCGGGATGTTGTCGGGACTCAGTTCACTAAAGCTGATCAGACTCTGGAAATAAGTGAGGTGATTGATACACTCAATTACTACGACCTGGGCATCAAATCACTATCTCTGCCCCTCAGACACATGCAATAAATATAATTGAAAGTCATATATATGAAATCGATACACAGTAACTGGTTTACATTAGTTTATTTATTAAGTATTTACAGATCTACAAAGTATGGGGCTCGGTTAAATGCATGTTGAGGCAGAAATTCAGCCTTCAATATAAAAAACAGCTATAATTGTTTTTATGACATTTAATTTTGGCTATCCTACGTTCACTTTGATTTTTATAGAGTTTTAGGGCTTACTTAATTAGGTTGAGCAGAATTTTCGGGTTTCAGTAAGGTTATGAATAATTCCATGGAGTTCTGACACATGTATATAGGTTAGGCATGCACATCATTGGATATCGGCTTTAAATGCCCCTTATCTGACTCCAATTAGGCCGTATGTATGATTGTTATTCAGGTATACATGTCCAAATATATACCCTGGCTATCCTGGTATATAATTATCGACTTAATCCGCGTCATGAATAATGGAATTAAAATAAGTCAAATACGAGAAAAGATTTAGAATACGTATATTTTGTACAATCTTTAATTCAAACAAACGAGCGAAGGAACGAAGCGAAACAAAATGATGCGCGGCATGTGAGCCAACTTGATTTAACCAAGTGTTAATCAATATTTATAGTCATACAAAAAATAAGCTACAGATATGTGATGAGTAGGATAAGATGTACACACACACATACGCTCATATATAAAGTCAGGGTTGATAAGTGAATAATTTTATATCAGAACGGGTTTTTGTGGATATTATAGTAATTTCAATGATTGAGTTCATGAGTCGATTGAAGCTAGACCACCATTGAAAACCTGTAAGCATTGGACGGCCGCTTCGTCCTATTGTGCGACTCTTTAGCAGTACATACCAACGATCCCTCTCACGAGATCCGAACCTACAACCTGTCGATCGCGAACGCTGAACCAAAGTCAAAACGTAACTCAAAAAGAATAGGTAAATTGACCTGTCCAGAATAAGTCATATGGGTTTAACATAGTAACCGACACTACACGGCTAAGCGGTCTAGTGATTAGGCGTTCTTAAGCGAAACCGAAGGTCTTGTGTTCGATCCCCTACTGTGGGGTCTTAAACATGTGGGACTAACATTATTTTCACTGGTTGTTCAGTTAAAATTCCTATCATGTTTATACAATTATCAACATATATATAAGCTAAATGAATTTATCTCTTAGATAATAAACTGTTTAAATTCACACATCTGTTACCTCTATCAATTCTTTATGATCGTTTTACATACCACAGATTATTTCTCTTTTAGTTTATGTTAACCTGTACAACAACAATTCCTTAAATTCCTCCTAATGATTTGAAAAAGAAGTAAACTTTCAATAATCGAGTTAATGAAGTTAGCCAAGTTAATTAGTTTGCAATAAGAATAGGATATTTCAAATTGACTTGAAAGAATCCTAGAAACAAAGTTGGTTACTTCATATTTAAAAAGCAGTTAGTTATATAATATATCCTTGTGGGCCAGAGTAATTTTACGTTGGTCTTCAGGAGATTCACACTTTCACATGATAACCTGAGCAGTACAGCTCAATCCCGGGATTGAGTCAGACACCACCTAGGCTTAAAATTTGTAGCACAAATAATATGGCTCAATCCCGTTTCCAAGAGAACCAGACACCATCTCGGCTTAATAAACTTTATAAACCAAGCACTACAACTCAATCCTGCTTCATAGGAGAACCGGACACTATATAAGCTTTAACGCTACAATCTGAATAGTACAGCTTAATTCTGTGACGCAATCACACAGTTAACAAGCACCCCGGTGAACCAATATTAAAAAAGTACATGTTTTAATTAGTATGTTAGCAGGATAGAATCTTGAGAATTAGATACTTCGTACAAGTTCATATTGGGATCTATCGATTTATTCATTATCAATCAATCAAGGTTAACAGAAGAATCAAGAAGATACTAGAGATTTCTTATGTGAATTTTATACCAACTCTCATGTTTTTTTGTTTGTTTGTTGCTAAGATGCCTTCAACTGTTTCAGATTATTAGTATCTGGGTACATCATCTTCAACTTATTATTTTTCTATTTGTCAAGGAATGTTAAACAAAGAGAAGTTTACTTATTATATTTTTTAAGAAATATAATTTGTTTGTATAAAGAGAAAATCAAACTAAAACAGGATAAACTTAGGAAGTCATCAATTACTGAGCTGAACGATTTCGAACCCATATTTGGGATATACAGGATAATTGTAATCTATAGTTGAAGATCTTAGACGGTATATGGATCCAAAGTTGATCTGATTGATGTATATGTATACTTACTTACGCCGGTTACTCCTAATGGGGCATAGGCCGCTGACCAGCATTCTCAAACCCACTCTGTCCTGGGCCTTCATTTCTAGTTCCATCCTATTCTTGTTCATTGTTCTTATGTCTATCTCCATTTCCCGGCGTAATGTGTTCTTTGGTCTTCTTCTCCTTTGGCCTTTAGGATTCCATGTGGGGGCTTGTCTTGTGATGTGGTTGGGTGCTTTCCTCAATGTATGTCCTATCCACTTCCAGCACTTCTTCCTGATTTCTTCCTCCGCTGGGATCTGGTTTGTTCTTTCCCGCAGTAGGTTGTTGCTAATAGTGTCTGGCCAACGGATCCGAAGTATTTTGTATATATATATATTCATTCATTCATTCTATGTCTTCTACATTATTTCCTATTTCTTTCGATTTCATTTATTCTTTTCCAAATAAATTCTAGATTATTCGACATCTTAGATTCCACTGTTAACCGTTGGCCAAATCTACATAAAGATGTTTGTCACTTTTAAAGACAATCCGTTCAGAATTCACATTTACTAAAAAAAAACAAGACTGAATAGTTATAATCTTGAATATTAACAATGGGTGCATTAAAATCCTTACAACTAAATTATATTCTAAATGTTTACTGTCATTGGATTCAACATATTGGATGATCTGTCTGAGAATCAGTTCGTGATCTCGATCAAAAACTTAATAATCTCCACAACCCCTATACTATTAATCAACATGTGCTCACTAGTGACTAGCTTCGTGAGGGAATTCTCGGAGTTCTAGTGAGAAGCCGTGATCAGTGGAGCTAATCTATGTCGGGTAGAAACAGGTATCTGCCTCAGTAAAATGGAAGATGGTCGCGCAATTTCGTGGATTGGTTGAGGTTAGACACTAACATCATTGGATGCCGACTCAGCGGTCCAGTAGGTTAAGCATTCGCGCGTGAGACCGAAGGCCCTGGGTTCGAATCCCTCCGGTGGGGATCGTTGATGCACACTTCCGAGGAGTCCCACAATAGGACGAGATGGCCGTCCAGTGTTTCCAGGTTTCCAAAGGTGGTCTAACATCAATCAGTTCATGATCTCAATCAAAAACTTAATAATCTCCACAACCCTATATACTTATAATAATATGGTTGCATTCATTCTTTGTCTTCCCTTAGATTCATAGTTTCACAATTATTTTGGAATTAATTTACGGAATAAAAATGTATTTCTTTTGAAGTCATACTGTAGTGAACAAGAATAAAAGTGAGCATAATCGAATGTATTTGGATACAAAATTACAGAATATCTTAGTAAAATCTGTGAACCATACAAGAAATAATTCATTTGTAAAATGTCAATCAATTATCTCAGACTTGACTGTTCTTTCTGCAAATGTCAATCAATCGTCTGAAATTTCATTGTTCTTTTTGTTTCTAAGCCAATCATTCTTTGTTCTTTTTAACCTTCTGCCTCCAGACATTTCACTTTCGACTAACGATACTGTTGAGGTAATCCAGAAAACTTCTCGCAAAAGCTAAGAAAGTCTCAGCAAATACTAAGAAGCATTTTATCCAACCAGCGTTCACTACAAGTTTAGCCAGAGACATCAAGAAAGTGAAAAGTCACATGTATAGTTTCTGATTAGCTGATTACTATATTGCTACTATGTTTAGTAGCACTCCAGAATTTTCGGGAAACCCAAGGACACCTAAAATACTATAAAAACCTTATATTTCCTGTACTAAGACGAACCTTTGGAGTAAAGT